GTTTTCTGCGATTCCTTGTATGTTGTGGGCTCAGGCTTATTGAGATATGTTTTGTTAAGTTTTTCAGATGCACTTGATATTGCACAAACTTGTGCACCTGAATGCTCAATGCCTCTCTCGCTGAAAAGGTCGTAGTTAAGCACTGCATTCACCTCTATGTCTTGTTTCCATGCTTGTGATGCAATTTTACAGTTATTGGGCAAGTCTTCCTTGTGGAATTTCAACTCACTGTCATCTGCTTCATACAAGACGCCATCGGTGAATCGCACTATTGTCCAAAGATTCTTTGAGTTTGGATTATGGGACAATATATATGCCGCATGCACAGTTTTCATTCTATCTTTGCCTGGTAGGGGTTTGCCCGGCAAAATTCGCATCCAATAAACCTCTGAAAGGAACGGTTGCACAGCAATCCTCAAGTCTTTAATCCTATGGATTCTGACTATCCTTCTTATTCAGGAAATTCTGAAGCTTGCTGAACATTATCTTTAAATTCTTTTCAGATTTCTTTTTGAACATTGATGTTGCGAACATCCATCGAGCTTGTCCGGTGGATGGTTTTACCTTTATCAGCAAATGCGTGGTTGCATTTTCGCTGTCATGATACAAATCAAAATCCTGTACCACCTTAACCAGGAATTTTTCAGCTTCCTTTCCTTCGCAGAATCTTCTGGCAGAGTTTCTCTGACCGAGAAGTCATGTGCATATGAGTGGTTATGCTTGCTTAGCACTTTCCCGTACTCATCCACGTTTTCAGTGCACTTACTGATGCTTCCTGTCTTGACAGTTTTGCTTACTCTGTCATACAGTTTATAGGAATCAGCAATTGTGGTCTCCGAATGTCCAACATACATAAAAGCTTTTGCTCTTGGATTGAGCTTTTGACCCAAACCTGTGTTGCTTTGCTTAGTTAATAAGTTCATACACTTCACAGCCAAATACTTTTACTTTGGTCATGTCAGGCTTGATACCATACATTATTTCGTATGGACTTTTCTTCAAGTCATACTTCTGATGTGGAATCCGATTGTATAACCATACAGCATGTTCATATGCAAGTGGCCATTCTTCTTTTGGCATGTTTGCAGTATACATCATTGCTCGTGCCATGTCTCCCAGGGTTTCCCAGAGACGTTCAACTACTCCAGCTTGTTCATGGACTTCTCTTGCAATCTGGCGACAATCAATGTCATTATTTTTACAGACTGCATTCCATTCACTTCCAGTATACTCAGCAGCTTGATCACTGAGCATTACAGATATGCTATACCTTTCAGTAGGGTTCGAATGATTAATCTGTTGTTTCATCCAAGTTATAAAACTTTTAAAGCAACCTGTTACTTCATCTGAATTTCTAGTTTCCATGAAGTAAATCTTGCAGATTCTGGAAGCACTGTCTACAAATGCAATGATATATTTTTCCCCTTTTATTCCAGGGAACATGATGTAGTTTACATCTGTGTTTACCAGATGACCTACAATTTTAACCTCTTTTGAGAGTTTAGAATCCCGCTTTTGTGAGATTGGTTCCCCCCCTTGCTCTGCAGAATCTGTAACTTCCATTCCTTGCTCTATATCCTGAGGCAGTTGTTGAATACTATATATGGATTGGTTACCAGGGATGATCATTGTATTCGCCGTCCTCCGGGGAAGACCCCCATCTTCTGGATTGACCCCTTTGGCCACTTGATGCTCACCATCTACGGTGCTTTTGGGGTGTATGTAGGTAGTCTGGAATAAAAAGGCGATCGTACTCTACTAAAAACGTACTCGCGGCCTCTGCTTGTTTTCTCTCGCGGAGACGCGCGGCGCGGTCCCATCGGCTTGGAGCGCCGGCAGCGCCGGCGGCGGCGGCGGCGCGACGGGAAATCCGCGGCAGTTTCTCGCGTGCCCCTTCGGCTTGGGCTCGAGGCATTTTCCGCACACGTACACGCCTCGCTTACGCGCGTTTCTCCTCGACGCCGCGCGGAAGGGGGGGTGCGTTAATCTGAGATACCGCTCCAGAGCTTGTCGATGGACGGACGTGACGTCCGTGGCCGTCCGCGCGTGCGTACTGTGATCGGTCATGAACTTCTTCCAGATCTTGTTCGCGCTCTCGAGCACCCACGAGCTGTACTTAAGCATCGGCCCGTGGGTGAGGATGTGGTCCGCGACGTGACACAACATCTCGTGCTGGTAATTGCCCGGGTGGTACGCGATCGCGAGCGCGAGATCGCCCGTCCTCTCCCCGCTCCCGTCGACGTCTTCGCCGTTGAACTCGCGAATCATAAACGCGCCGAACTCTCTCGTCCGCTTTCTAAACGTCTGTAAGACAGCATCTGCAGGAGAGGAAGCGCGCGGTTAGTGAAGCACGCGCGCGCGGAGGCATCGCGCGGGGAGGGGGGGCGGGGGCGCGATCTCACCGCTAGGGGCGTCCTTGAGCATGAGGAAGGCGACTTGATGGGCGCGCTCCTCGGCGAAGTGCTTCAGTGCGGCGTACTTCGGGTGCCCTTCGAGGGTTATGATCCACTGCTGCCACTGCATTATCACGCGGAGAGCGAGCCCGGTGTCGTACCCCATCATCGGACGGGGGCAGCCGGCGACGGCGGCGACGGCGGCATCAAATTTGTCAAGGGCCTACAAAGAAAAAAAGGTGAGAGATGGATTCGGTTCAGACCCGCGCTCGCCCCGCCCCGCGCCCTCCCTCGCACCTGGATTTGCGTCGCGTGTTTCTGAAAAAGCGATTTACCGTCCTGTTCGGCGTAATCCGCGCGGCACACGTTCAGTACGGCGTGACACACGTCGGGGATGTAGTCCGCGACGGGGATGGCGGTGAGCGGCGGGCCCTTGAGCGAACCGCACATCATGATTAGCTTCGCCTCGTCCTTCATCACGTCGATGAATTCGACCTTCTTATCCCACCGCTTCTTCTTCTTTTGCTTACAGAATAATTCGTGCGCTTCGGGGTGCGCCTTTACCGGGTCCTCTCCCACAAGTAGGTGTTGAGCGGCCCGTTTCGCCTTGCGTCTCATCGCGTCGCGTGTTTGATCAAAAGTCGGCACCTTTTTGGTTTTTTTTTTCGTTCGGGCTCCCGCCTCTCCCGGCGGCGCTTCGTTGGGTTTCTTCGCGACCTCCTTCTCCGCGTCCGCCGCGTCCGCGCTCACTTCTCCTCGCACGTCGTCATCACCAGGTGGAGCGTCGAGGACGTTCACGGTGGCGGCGGGGGCGGCGGGAGTACCGCGGGGTACATCGGCGCCGGTGCCGGGAGCCGGGGCGCCGGCGCCGCCGGCCCCGGGAATCGTAATTCCGGACGATCCGACCGCGACCCCGCCGTCGTTGCGCGCGTTCTCGCGGCGCGGTGATGCGACGTCCGCGGTGTCCTCGCGCGTGACGTCGCCGAGGTCCTCGGTCGCGTTCGCGGCGGCTTTCGCGGCGGCGGCGGCGGCGACGGCTTTCGCGGCGGCTTTCGCGGCTTTCTCATCGGCGGCGGCGGCGGCGGCGGCGGCGACGGCGGCGACGCGTTCGATCTCTTCTTTGACTTGCTCGTCCGTGACCGCCGCCTCCGCGTCCTCGCCCACCTTTCTGAACATCGCCGCTATGTTTCCCATCAGCAGCATCTCCTCGCGAGTGCGTCGCGGGAGCTGATCGTTGACCGTTCGCACGGTGTGTACGTTGCCGACCCCGAGCCCGGGGCCGTACCCGCGGTAGCAATGCAAGCAATTGCACTTAGACGCCGTCCCAAGGTGGTTGTATAATATCGACGCGCACGCGAAGTCTCCCATGAGTCGCGCCTTAAAACGTACCTCGACGCCGTTTATAGTCCACACCGCCGTCGCGTCCTCGCCATCTCCGATCGGGAGTTGCGGCTCAACGTGCTTGAGCACGGCGGTGAGGTTCGCGTCCGTTTCTCCGCCGTCGAAGAGCGCGAGGGGAATAATATTATGGGGGTTGTTGAAGTCCTCGCCGGGGAAGAGCGGGTAGAATGCCCATTGCTCTGTCTTCCGCGTGGCTTTCTTGAAGTCCAAGGTGCTGAAGTTGTCGCCGCCGACCTTGAACTCAAGGTCGAGCTTGAGTGTCTCCCCGGCGGCGGCGGCGGCGACGACGGCGGCGACGCCGTAGCCTTCCGTGGTATCCAACCACCACCCCACGCGCTCTTCCACGAGCCGCCGTACATCCCGTACCATCCAACCGATCCTCGGCATCAAGGGATCGTCGACGGTGATCGGGATGAGGTCCACGTTCACCGAATTAAACGCGGCGCGAATATGCGTGAGAGGAACGAGAGACAACGCGGTTGGCAAATACCTCTTCAAAATATTCCATCTCTCCTCACTTAAACCCAAATCCATGTATAACGCCGCGCACCTCTCGAGACGGAGGCGCTCGCACTCGTCGTCGAGGTTCAGCGCTTCCTCCCCCATGATCGTCTCGAGGGCGTCGCGGTACGTGTCCATGAAGCGGGCGAGCATTCGCAACCCTTCGCCGCCGTCATCTAATTCGAACATGTAACGGAGTTGTCCTTGACGGCGTCGCGGCGGCGGCGGAGGGGAAGGGGTTGGGGGAGGGGATGGAGGTCAGCATCGCAGGAGTGAGGAGACGCGCGAGGAGATGCACACGCGCGGAGTCGTACCTTCGATGTCGTCGCCGGTGACGTCACGTATCACTTGTTGCCTTTGGGCGAGCACCGAAGATTTAACATCGCTCGAGGCTTTTTTCGCGCGCGTGGCGGGCGCCGCGCGCGCGGCGCTTTCGATACGCGTCACGAAGGTCTTGGCGATGCGCCGCGTCGCCACGACGCCGAGGTCGTCAGCGAGATGATTCGTACGCTCCGCGAGCGCGGCGACGTCTTCCCAGTTGCGCTCAATCACCGCGGCGGTGAGCGACTCGCGACGCGCGACGTCGTCACGTGCGACAGCGAACAGCCCGAAGTTCGCGGACCGATCGAGCGGTTTCCCCGGGCTCCGACGCTTACGCGGCGGCGCGTTCTGTGCTCGGGAAGTGCGGGGGGGGTGTGGTGTCAGCGGAGATGGGGTGCGTGGGCACGTGCGACGATGAAGGCCGCGACGGGGGCGGGCGATCTCGGCGCGCGCGATCGGACGCAGGAGAAAGCAGAGAAGAGCCCGCGCGCTCGTATTTTTCACCTCGTCCCCTCCGTCGCGGCGCGCGGCCCTGGCGGCGGTGGCGGTGGCGGCCCCGCGCGCGCGATTAGGACATGGCTGTTTGGCGGACTGCGCGGCGATTTGTAATGACGCGGCATCGGCGGACGCGCGGCGCGCTCGACGCGGGGGCGTCAGGGGCGTCATTCTCAAATGGAGTTTCAACAGAGAACTTTTTTTGTTCGTCAGGCCTTGTTCGCGCTTGCGCTCCCCTCTGCCGATCGAGCTGCGGATTCACCCCGGGAATCGCGCTTCTTGACCGCAAGCCTCCCGGTCGCGAAATGACGGTGGGCGCGGCGCGTAGGGGTAAGCGGCAGGTGCAGGGTCGATGTTGAAAGGAGGGGCAGGTGTCTTGATCGCAGCCTGAATCGATGAAGTTTTCCCTCGCCCACCATCATTTTTCGACCGGTCAGCTCGCGGTCCCAAAGCGCGATTCCCGGGGTGAATCCGCAGCTCGATCGGCAGAGGGGAGCGCAAGGCGCGAAGAGCTCTCCAGCCGATGAAAAAAAAAAGTTGAAACGATAAACGAAACCAAAAAAATTTCATCGGACAAAATCCCGGTGAAACCTCCTCGATGAAATCCGGTTCTTAAAAGCGATTCTAGGCGAGGCGAAAAGCATCGTACCATCCTTCGGTGGAATTCGGGTACTACATTTGGCGTACCTGACTTGCTCCGGGACGTGAGTCCCCGCCTTAGGATGAAGCATGGCAGTATACCAGGGTCGTTTCGGAGCTCTGGATGTTACAATGCGTTTCGCTTTTGTAATGTTGCAGGCTGGACACACAATATTGTGAAATCGAGGGATTTTTTAATCTGCTGCGTTATTTTCGCAGAAAGCTTTTACTTTAGCTGGGTTTATATGCCCCAATCTTAAGTGTGCAAGCATCAGATTGTTTATTTTAATTGGCGTATAAATGTCTTTGAAGACTGCCACGACGGACCAGGGAATGGGCCCTAGAAATGCTCTACCGTTTTTGGTAGTCACAGTGTTTTCACCGTGAAACGTTCTCTTTGGAATCGTGAACACCTCTGGAGTACCTTTTGGGTACTCTTTTATTATTTCAAAGTGTGGTATATACTTTTGATACCACTCCGCGGATTCCCATTTTGGGAGTATGAACAAGAATTTAGTTTGTTGAGGATTAACTTTGAAATCCTCCAAGGCCTTATGTAGTGTTCGCTTTATGAACTCAGCGATGTATTTTGGATTCCCATAGAATGCTTTTTCGCACCAGCGCGTTCAAATGCTTCTTTATTATCGAAGCCGTCTTTTAATAACTCATTCCCTTTTTGTCTAAATATTTCGAACCATTCTTTGAACGGACCATGAGTTATTTCCAGCTCTCCTAGTTTGTCAGGATTGAACTGGATATCTTCTTGAGAATCATTGGGTAAGATTGCCACCCCCATTTTCGGGTTAGTTATCAGATGATCAGTCTGATGAGCAGCTGCTGTTTGTCGCAGCTTATTGTTGTTACGTCTAACAACAATATTTGACAGCATCATTACATCATTTACCCATTTTAATTTGTATTTTAATTTATATTGCCTGCTGTAAAGAACCAGTTTTTCGGTGTCAATCTGCAGCCCCAGTTTATTTAACCTGCGGAAACTCAATATCTATTTTAGACCTTTGTGGTGTACAGTATAGGTTGTGAAATAGGAGAGTTTATTACATACGTTGATGTTCGCTCCTGAGTCTAACAACCAGTCACTTGTCCTCGCGACAGTAGTGTAGGCACACAACCCTCATTCGAGAAGGTCGTCGTCAAGGTCGTCGTCCAGCCAGTCATCATCAACATCATCAGCGTTTAAGAATGAATCGTCGCTGCATGGTGGAGGACCTTTGTCACTGCTGGTCTCAAACTCCAGATCAGCGATCTGGGCTGTGACAGCTTTAGCAACAGCTTTAGCCTCTGCTTTCGGTTTCTTTAACTGAGGACAGTGCTTTGTGTAGTGATTTTTACCACACTTGATGCACATTTTGTGTCCAGAATCCTTTAGTTTCTGATGTTCTGCTGAAAGCTGTTTGCAGTTAGTAAATGTATGACTCGTGTCGCCACACTCAAAGCATATGTAATCGTTTTCAGCACTTGCAGCATTAGAAGCTCTTTTCTTCGCTGCCGCCTTCTTTTGCTTCTTCTTATTTGGATTGCCGTAGCGTTCCTGCTGTATTGATTTAACAGTTTTACGTTTAGATCCAAGAGTTGGTTGGATGTTCTCTTTCCAGTACAACTGAATCATGTCCTGCAACTCGATAAGAGTTTTGTTAGACAAATGTGGATCATACACTGTTAGGGTTGTGGCGAAATTTTCATATATGTTCTGATAACCGCCTTGTATGCTTGGTTTCTTAAGCTTAGCGAGAATATGCATCTTTTCTTCCTCCTCACGTTTTACTTGCCAGTCTTCATGTCTGTCATATATTTTGTTAATGTTGTGAAACAGTTGTTGAGGATCATCCGTTCCAAAGTCGAGTTTTTGTAATCGGTCCAGATCTGCAGTCTTGTCTAGCATGGCAGGACGCACGTTGATTTTTTTTCCCTCGACGTGGAAGGCTCTGAAATGACCATCTTGAAAGCGGTTCCTTGGGACAAAATTAGTTTCAACGCTATTCTGATCGAAACTTTCTGGCTTTCCGATAGAATCGTAGACCGTTTCATGACCGAGCGAGGGTTTGCGAAAGTGCAGCAGCTGGCAATCGACAGTCTCTATTTGACGTGGTCACAGCGCGACGAAGCTCGACCGTGGCTGCCCCCGAATTGGGAACACTTTTGGGAACTTAATACTAGGTACCGCGACGAAATGCGTCTGAGCGGGCAGTTGAGCGACCAACTTTAAGTATGTCACGCGAGGGAGTTGCCATAGGGATCTTTAAGGACACGGAGCACAGCTAAACCTAAATGTTGGCTCCTCTGTTTCACCGCTCGAACCCAGGTAGCTATCTAGCTCGAATTATTTTGCCACCGTACAATAATGCAAGAACGAGGACCGGGACCGGGAGGCAACAGCATCTCTATTCCAATCTACCTTCGTCTGCAAGAAGTGCTCTAGCTACTGCAGACGTTACTTTATGATACCTAAGCTCTCTCATGAGCAACTTCGCGTTATTCGCGACATATTCAAGATACTTAATATCTTCGACTTCCTGACTGTACACTAAAGTTGTTTTCTCCTTCAGGTTGTCAAAGTTCGCATCGATGCCTACATAATGCGTTCCATCGACAAGTGAGTTGCTAAAAAAGTGCTCGTATGATGACTTCACCAAGAAAACTACACTACCGCTTTCCAGTCGCCACCTCAACCCCCAAGCATCCACATTCCCATCTATGTCGAGAACACCCCGATACTGAGCCCACTCGTCCTCTTGCACGTGATCTCCCAGCAAACCTTCGTCTTTCAGCGCAGCTGCACTTCCATGACACCACTGAACTGCATTTGACAATCTCAAGTTCAACCATGTGATGTTATTAAAATATCGAACTAGTTTGACGCGCTCTAATTCGTTGCACGAAGAAGCGCACGGCCCGATATCATAACATGGGACTCCCGTAGTCGAGCCAGCCCAAATGACCTGTCTTTTTCGTTCGGTATATGGCACGTGCCTTGTGCTGAGTCGACGTGCGACTTCACTGAACCCTTTCTTTTCAATGAAGTGGAAGTTTGGAACCCAGGTCGTGAACGACGGCGGGACACTTTCAGTGACTTGTATAGAATGCGCCACGACTGCTACGCCAGCCTCTATCATTGCAAGCACAAGTGGTAACTGAATCGTGGAGTTATCTTCAAGTCTCCATACAATTTTGTGGCTAAGTTTCACGTTTGAACCAGCGTCGAGAAGGAAGTCTTGTGCCATTCGCAAGTAGAACGAAAAATGCGGAGCGAGAGTTGTCAGTACCGTGTAGTGTTGCCGAGTGCGACTAAAAAATTGAACGTCGAAACACACGAGACTGGGTTCAGCTGTCGGTCTGAATTTAGTCAAAACGCTCGAAAGTTCACTGCAACAAGTAGAACAATCTGCCCAGCTGCGTCCCCTTATCCGAGTTCGAGAAAAAAAAGGCAGTTGAAGCCTACACGACCTCCCGTTTGCCAAAAGCGCCCAAACCAATATGACGACCACTAAGCTGGAAATTCTGAACCAGAAAGCAGATTTATTTGTTCCTCGCGAATTGACCGTGAAGTGCATTTCTCGTTGCTCACAATATTTCGTCGAACCCCTAAGTTCTCACAAGTATGACATACCTTCGTAAGAGTTGAAATCCGGAGAGATTGAGTACCTCCGAATAATAGCCTGTTCTTGGCAGAACAAAGCTGCTCGCAGGAGCGTACCTTCTACTGGAAGTACTTTCGTACTTCCGTACGTAGCTAGCTACGAAGGTACTTTCGTACTTTCGTACGTACTTTCGCTCTGCGGTTCTGCGGTTCATAGACCACGTGTGCAATTTTGCCTGCCCTTCAGTTTCACCGTGTTTGCTGAGCTCTTCAAGGATTTTCATGCGAAAATAATCCGATAATCCAGAAATCCAAGTAAACCATAACTCCCTAGCAAAAATCTTTTCAATAAAACCTTGAAATTTTTGTGAGGTTCTTTTGAAAATACTGGATTTCTGGATTTTTGGATTGACCGAGAGTTGATAAAACTTGCACGGGTTCTGGGTCGCTTCGCTCCAGGTATGGCCGCGATGGGCCCTAACCGTAATTAGGTTTGTCGAGAAATATTTTACATGTGTCAAGGACCCCAAGAATTCCGGGCAGTCCTTGGTCGCTGCGCTCCAGTCACGGCCGCCGTTGACGTTAACCATAAATACGATACGTAACTTCGTGTCTATGTATATAACTCTTCACACCACTTTACGTCACTTCACACCACTTTAATATATATGTACTTTCGTACTTTCGTACTTTCGAGAAAGTATGACAAAAGAAACAAAGGTAGATTTCGATCAATAATATTTTTAAATTACATCATGATTGCTTCCCATACACATCGTGCGCAATATATATTTCTGCGTTTATCGAAATCTACCTTTGTTTCCTTTGAGGTACTATTTTAAGCAGTAAATTAGCTACTGCTAAAATAGGCTTTTAGCAGTTGCTAATTCACTGCTAATTTACTGCTAATTTACTTTTAGCAGTAAATTAGCAATTAAACTCCGGACCGTTACCATCTACGTCTGTGCATGCGTTAACATAAGCGCAGACATGATGAGGCGCAACAATGGTTCCGTTTGCGTTGTCTTTGATTGACCAGTCGCCAGAAATCGTGGCATGTTCAAGTCCCGGAATTTGTTTAATAATCAAGGTAGTGACTAGTGAGTGCCTCGCGTTCGGTCTTGTTGGCAGTTTCAAGTTCATGAACAGGTAGACCGTGCGTGGTGATGGGAAAATGAGTAAATGTTTGAGTCTGGTCACCATGTTTCACGGTTATAGTAATCATTGTGCGCGTTCAACGCGCACAATTATAATAGTCTCGTGTGTTTGTTAACAACGAAATAAAGAATATCAGTAAATTAGCAGTAAATTAGCAGTAAATTAGGAGCACGACTCGACAGATCAGTACCTTCGTACGTACGAAAGTATCTTATAAGTAAAAGTAGCAGTAAATTAGCAGTAAATTAGCAGGTGCTAAAATTGCGATTTCGCGTTTAGCAGTACGAAAATGGAAATTAGCAGTACGTGTACGGAGGTACTTTTAGCAGTAAATTAGCAGTAAATTAGCAGTAAATTTAGCATATGTAAGCATTTTTTAACTTAATTACCGTAGAGCGACTCTATCAAATTTAAGTTTCATCGGAGTCAGATCGTAGTGTAGGGTATGTAAGCATTTTTAACTTAATTACCGCAGAGCGACCCTAATGTAAAATGCACGATCATTTACAGTGGTGAAATGATATTAAATCAAATTTACGACCCGTGCGCGACCACCTGTATAGCCATTCACGTGAACGCCGCGGCCGTCATGCACGACGACGGCGACCACTCGCCGGACGCGATGGCGTCGAAGGGTCCAGGGGCGGTAACGCAGCTCGCGGTGGCGGAGAAGACGCACGTGCATCATCTGGCGGTGGCGAAGGCATGACCGGTGGCGATGACGCGGCGACGGAACCGATCTCGTTAACGTGCCGACGATCCGCAGACAACATCGTGGTGTCCGGGGCAAAGTTGGCAAAGACGATCACGTGCATTTTGTGGAAGGCCCTCGACGTGGAGTCATACTTCCCGGAGCACAGCAATTGATTCTTGATAATCTCGATGATTTCGTACACGACGGTGACCTCGCCGTATTCGGCGGCGCGAACTAAATCGAAAACGATGACGCGCGTCTTCGTGGTGATGCTCTTGGAGAGCATGTGCAGCATGTCGTCCCTCTTCATGAGCTGAAGGATGATGGCGTCGTGGTGGAACATCAGATGCCGCGCGAGAAACGTTTTCCCTACGTTTCCAACCGCCTCCCACGCCCAGTGGACAGCCCGCGAGTCCGGTTTTGACAGGACGACGTTGACGACTTTCAATTTTCATAGTGTATGTAGCTATGTACGAAGGTACATCTACTACATAGAGTCATAGACTACGTGACGGGTTCTGCGAGTCAATGAACCAGCCGGCGATGAGGGGCCGCGCGCGCGCCGTGGCGCGTCTGTAACTATTCCGTGTCACGAAAAATATTAGCCCCCCTTTAATTGCCGCGCCTCTCGTCTACCTTGCTGCGCACTCTGCCTCTCTGGGCGGCAACGCTGTGTTACATAGGCCATTAATCACCACTTGCCAAAAACTTAAGATCACAGGCCCCTCGAACCGGACCTTTCCAACGCTTTCTTCGTTAACACACGCAAAGTGCGCTCCATCACAAATAGTTTCTAGCCGGGGACGTGTCATGGCGTTCAGGTCAATTATTGCCACACCAGCTCTCTTCATAGCTGCAGTCGATTGACGAACCTCTGCATTCATCCTTGGGGATGTCTGCCTTGAATTCTTTAAATTTAGCCACTCAGTAGATGAATCAATGTGGTTTGAACTTGCGGGTGGGCTAACCCAGGCTGCGAATCTCTGTGCACTGAGCTCCTTCAAAAGCACGGCCAAGTCCTCGTATTCTTGTTTCGCATCAGCAATGCACCTGTACGCAGCATTCCACTGCCCGCTCTGGGTGATGATAGCATCATCACACTTTATTTCCCCACTATCAATCCGCTCCTGAATTCCTGAACGAATATCATCGGGATACGGAAGCCATAAAAACTCCACACACACGCCGAGTCCACTACAGTTTGAGAACCCGTACTGAAATTTATTACCATCGTTGATCAAAGTTCCATGTAGAAAGTTTTCAATTGCAACATAAGCAGTGCGCGAGTGACTGTCCCCCATGATGACGAGTCGTCGATTTTGTAGACATTTTTTCGCCTCAGTCGGGGTGTACGTCTTATATCGGCAATGGATCCCTCTCCACTGCCAATTTACCGAACTCATATGCGTTCCAAGATCTCTGCTGTGAACCTTGACCCACTGAGCAGGATTATCAACGCCTGTGCAGAGTGGCAGGCTCTCATATTCTGGTGGTAATGAACCCGATACGTGATAAATCAAGGGACTGTTGATCACCGGAACCCAGACTCGTCCGGCATCCTTAAACTTCATGTCTTCAGAGCATTTCGTCACCCACCGTTTTGTCAGCATTCGAATGTGAGCACTGATTGTATATTCACCTGGATGTGTGAGTTCGAGTTGCACCAAGTAAATTCCTGACCCCATGTCCATAACAACGCCCTCGACACGAGTTGGACCACTAGCAAGAACATGAAAGACATGACCAGGAACTCCTATTTGTGTGCCCTTACACTCTGTCAAGCATTTGATGAATAAAAACGTCGTGGAGTTCGACGTTAAACTTTGACCGATACTTCCTGAAGTAGGTTCTACGATAAGCTGACACTGTGCAGCATACTCTGAAGCGGACACCTCAGCTGCGTCACAGTCGCCATCTAGATAACTTGGCAGTTCTTTTAAATGAGCGAGCAGAAGTTCCATAGTCTTTCCCAATTTCGCGCGCTCCAGTGCTTGACCCGAGGGCGTTTTGGCGCCCATCTGATGTTCCGCCAACCTGCCTTGCAGCCTAACAAAGTACGCAGGAGGATTCTTTATGTGCTCGCTTCCTCCCAATCGTATCACTACTGGCACGACTATCGCCGTGACCAGCAAGAATAACTGTCGCCAGTTGTTGCCGGGCATGTGTGCAGCTTTTTGCGTGCTGCTTGTCACTTGCCTGACGCCCGTCTTAAGCGCGGTATGGCGCGCGCGCGCCTGTGTGTGTGTGTGTGTGTGTGTGTGTGCCTGTGTATGTGTGTGTGTGTGTGTGATTGCAGAAGTAGGGCTCGTGCGGATTCTAATCCGCGAATCGAAAAGTGTTGTTTCTCCCACCTTGCAGCCACTCGCTCCCACTCATCTCCGCGGCTCCACAGCGCGGTATGTGTACTCGCCCATAACCTGGGGTACGTGTACGTGTACCGGTACGCAAAAAATTTTATCCAGCTATAAGATATTCTTTTCATTCGATCCAGCGATTCTCGCGTACTGCGGGTTGATCGGCTTGACCGATCAACTTTGACCGAGGGTCGGGTTTTCACCCGTCTGACGATTCAGTGGCCCTTTCGTCTACGATCAGAGTTCTGACAGTTTTACACCTCTCCGCGAGGTCTGCGTGTTCGCGCGGCCATAGCGTCGCGGAATAGCCGTAAAGATCTCCGGTACAGTGAGAAGAGTTCTTCGTCACATCGCGGGGCATCGATTAAAGCAAAAGTATTGTGCCACTTCAAATACCCATACGCTACAGCTCTCGTACTACGTCCGCGTACTCCCTGGGTTCAAACTTCGGTCGTTTGAAAGGGGTGCCCGCGGGCGTTCGCGCGCTGCTGGAGTCGCGGGAGCGCCACGAACGCCGACGTCATACGCAAAGAATTTACTCGAAATATCACGGTACGTCGACCCATGCAAAAATACCACACCGCTCGCTGTGATGATCACGACGTAATCGGCGCTCGAACAGGATTGGGCACAACTTGCAACATCGCTTTTTCGGGGGAAGGTGAAAAAGAGTTCCCCTCCTTCCAGTAAGATTTTGCAGAGTCACCCTCGACATATGCGATATCAGCACGGCGTGTGTTGCAAACAACAGAACTCTGTTCGTTATTGGCAGGGCATCGGCCTTTTTTTCCCGCTTCGCTCGTCCCGGTTTTTCGACTCTAACCAATCAGCTCGTAGCGAGCGTCGGTAAGTTTTTCCCGATAAATTTGGAAATTTATCGGGAAATGGCTTTCGCCGATTAACCTGTAGCACGTCGGAAATGAAGCAGTGTTAAACTAAATTATTTTCGGGTAATCTGGCTGGTGTGCTTTAAAATTTGTAATCACGATCTCAGGAATTCTCAAAGAAGGAAGTCTGTTCACTCCCCCCCCTCCGACACGCCGGGGTTTGCTTCGCCACTTAGAGCCCCCTCACTTTTATCGTCTCTACCTACGCGTGTACCACGTAGTGTCCCCGCGCGGCACTCCGCCCCTCCCCCACATCTCCGCGCTTCCCGAGAAGCTACCCTGCACCGGCAGCGCTGGCGCGTTCGTTGCGGGTTTCCTCCCTTCCCACGGCGTAGAACGCCACGACCGTCAGCCTCTCTCTCACGACCGTCAGCCTACTGTGCGACCTTTCTTGTTGGATGGGGGCGCTGCAGCAGTAGCAGTGGCGAAAGTGGCGTTGTTGGGGGGCGGTGGCGGGAGCAGAGATAGCCATTCTTGGTGTGGCAGGTGGCGGGCGGTGCGTTTTGAAATGACTGAGAGGTTTCTTGAGAAACAGACCACCGAAATTAATTGGTCATTTAAATGTCGCCCGCCAACCGGGGTACAGTACACGTGTATTAATTTCGAAAATTAATACACCGGTTGGCCGCCGAAAACGATGAACCAATTAATTTCAGAAACCATACGGACGTTAGACCGTCATCCTTGAGTCAAATTAATTGCCAAATTAATTGGTGGAGCTCTTGCGCAACCTAATGGTCGTATCCCCTGGTACACAGCTACACACTGTCCACGTATATCCCTATCTTTCGCGGCGTTTTCACGTGCTTGCGCACGGCTCCGTATTTACGTACATTGAAGATTCACCCTAAACCCTAAACACCGAAACCATACCGTGTAGTACGTGTATAACAAATCATTTTGAGTCAGCCTCAGCAAGTAGAAGAACGAGTAGTATAGTCGCATACCGCGGTCGCGACGAGCTTCCTGCTTAAAAGTCTACTTTATATTTGCTATCTTGTTTGCTATGTGCATGGCTGTATGCGCACTATAAGCCTCGAAAAGGTTCTACAGACGTCTAGTTGTAGCGTGTTTCGTTCTGCGGTTTTCGTTGTGTGTGTCTTTTTGTTATTTTCTGGGAGGGCAAAACGCAACTTCCAAAATTCGGCCCAAGCCTCCGGCCAAGGTGGCGTCGAACCCCTATACGCCGACTGGACCCCTGATCACTCCTGCAGACACGAGCCGCACAGTTTCACCTGCACGCCTTCTGGAAAGAGTTGGCCACATCGGACACCTCTAAATCCTTGTCAGGGGTTGGTAGACAAAAAGGTCTTGTTCGTAGGTGACTCGTTTGCTCAATATGCACATAACGCGTTCATCGTTTGGTTGTCTGGTAATTACAAGGACGGGGCAATGCAGGCCAGCCACGACGAAGAGTGTATTGGTGAATATCAATTTGGCGAGAACGTTAGCTGCCGATATCAGGAGATATCTGCAACTGGAAAGGAACACTTCTTTTGCAACGGTAGAACGGCTGTAAAGTTCGTCGGCTATGCACATGGAGGCAATTACCCCGGGTTCTTTAACCAGACTTTGCGCGACTACGATCTGATTGTGTATTCGATAGGGCGGCATCCTTATGATGGCAATTATGACGAACGTTCCGGCGTAAATGATGCCGAATCACTGTATCACAATGCGTTTCTTAATTCTTGTAAAGACACGAATGCAACGGAAATGTGCGAAAAAGTTGTTTGGCTGGATACACACGTAAGAATATCAGCTCTTTATACTGACGAAAAATACGATAAACAGATACGGTTCCACATCGAGTCTCCGACCTGGGTGTTTCGAGGCTGTGGGATCAGGAGAGTCGCTTCGGTGTGGGATGCTACGGAGCTTTTAGTCACACAACACCCAGTTGACGCACACGAAATGTCTTGGGATAAAGTCCACTACGGCTTGGCAATAAACTTACTGAAAGCTCACGAAATTTTCAATGAGTGGGCAAAGAAAGTACAGTGTGCAGATGCAAATCAGAGTTTCGTGTACAACCATGCGAAACACATCGAGGTCGAACAAGGGCGGCTAGAATCTTACGATTGATAAAAAACATGTTTCCTCCGAAGGTTTCCTTCTTGCATTTTGAAGAAGGTCGACAGCAGGTAGGGGTTACAACCTTAACTGTTATGATCTCACATCACACGTACTATATGTACTACCTTATCAGCTTATACTAAATGCTACAGCTACTGCTATCCCAATCAAGCTTGGGAACTCCGAAGCGTTTTTTCCTTTTTAGAACCTGTTTACCTTCACTTTACTCAGACTGCAGAGTGTTGTGAGTTTAATACTGTTTGAACAACAGCACGGCGCAAAGGGTGATGCACTACCCTTCCGCCACAGCTCGTGTCCTGCACCGGTAATACACTCCCGATCGGGCACAAGTTGTTGCTACTGCTCTCACTCAGACCGTTCCGAAACTGTCTTGTCAGTTTCGTCACTTCGTTGCCTCCTGCTCTGTGGCTTACGAGATCCGGCATTACCGTGCGCTCACTTGGATTCAGTTCGCCCCAGGCCTGTCCCAGACTCCACTCGTACCTTTCGGCACATTCGCGTATTCTGTGGTTGTGTATCTTGAACTTGACACGTTGACCCTTGTCACCTCGCGATCGCTCATCGCGAGGCAGACCCAGTGTCTAGCTAGCTAGCTACGAAGGTACGAAATTACCTTCGAAGGTACGAAGGTACTTCTTCTTTCGTACTTTCGAAAGTACTTTCGAGTACTTTCGTACCTTCGAAGGTAGTACGAAGGTACAAGCTAGCCTAGCTAGCTATGACCTTCGTAGCTACGAAGGTACTTTCGTACGAAAGTACGAAAGTACTTTCGTACGAAAGTACACTCAAAGTACTTTCGTACGTACGGAAGTACGGAAGTATTACCTTACTTCGAAGGTACGAAAGTACTTTCGTACCTTCGAAGGTACCTTCAGGTAGCACGGTAAACGGGGGCTCATCTCTAAACTCAATCGATCAGTTTCACCGGAGAAACTGCCATACTCATCCCACGCCGGTCAGTTGATCGGAGTGAGGCACGAAATGAACTTTTCACCGGATCATCAACGCCTCGCGATACACGACGTTGCTCGTCATCGAGCGCATTTTGTAACCAGAACTGCACACTCGCGTCATCGAGTGCGGCGGATAGCTTGGTGCCTCGGGGACTGCAGGAGGTCACGGCGGCTCCTGGCGAGCACCCTCGTCGAACGCCATCATCATGACGTCCTCCTCGTCCTCGTCCGGAGCCTCCTCGTCCGGAGCCTCCTCGTCCCTGTCGCATCAGCTTCTCAACATCATCTCCCAAGCTCTGAATCACCTCGTCGTCCGTGTCGTCCTCGTCCATCCAACACTCGACTTCCAGCATCGCCGCCACTTCATCGTCGTCGGGATCACCCTCTCCCCCCTCTCTCATCAGCGCATCCATCTGGAGGCGCTCTTCCTCCGCATCCGCGTAGAGCGACTCGAGCATCTCCCGCTGCGAGTCCTGCTCCGCCTCCTGCCTCGCGGTCACCACCTCGGTCCGCCTCTCATCCATCTCCGGCGGATTGTGCAGCACACAGATCTGATTTTGTCGGGGTGCACCACCCGAGAGGCCGCGACGTGCATCTGTCCGTGGGAGAAGACAGGCTCGGGGAGGAGCACTCCGACGCGCCCGCGGATCGTTTGTCCCTGGCTCTTGTTGACGGTCATCGCGAAGGCGGGGCGGACGGGGAACTTGCGCCTCGTCCACCTGGACGGGTCATTGGCAACGTGCTTCTGGCGTCGTATGAGGTAGAAAGGGAGGAGCGCGAGGTGCTCATCCCGCGCATACCGCTGGAGCCCAAGCACGGCGACTCCGCGCATGCATCTTTTGTCGCGCCCGGGCTTGTTCGTCTCGGAGATTCCGAGCGACCTCCGCAGCACGCGCCTCCTCTTGAGCACGTGCCCTTTCGAGCATCTTACGTTCCCGCGCACGTTTGGCCTTGGCCTTCTTCTTCGCCCTCTTTTGCGCGGCACGCCGATCGCGCACCTGTGCATCGTGGTCCTCTTGAAAGAACTGGACGCCGCGCGATCCGCGCCCACGACGCGTTCCAAGAGACTCGACATAGCGGATCCCCCCGTCGTCTTCGCGTGGCGCGCGGAGTCCGGGAGGCGCGCCCCCCCCCGAATTCGTCGTCGAGAGGTCGCTTCGGAGGCACCGGGTTGCGCTCCGAGCGTCGCATCCGATCGGGTTCAACCTGGACCCGCTCACGCGGCGGGGTTCTCCCCCGTGCGGGTCGGAACGCGCCCCGCCGCGTTTCTTTCTCGTCTCTGATTGGCCAGAAAGTCTGAGAAGCTCTGAGAGCCTGAGACCCGTTTTTCGTGATTTTTATTTTCAGTACCTCTCGCCTCGTGCTCGCTAAGCAAACAGAACGCGCGCGAGCGTGACGCATCCAGCCAGGCCGTGCTGTCAAGCGTCGTTTTCTTCGAAGAGAGAACGCCGGCGTCATCAGTAGTTGGGGTGTAGTACTGTAGGATTTGGGGTGTAGTCTCAACATCGCATCCTATGGGCATTTTAGTTGGCCAGTGTCATATTTCTTGGAACTCGCAAGGCTGCGCGCGCGTCGCCGGCGTCGTCCTCCTTCGCCGCCGCCGCCGACTCACCCCATGAAACGGGGCCATTCGCCATTCCTCTCCACCGGCGGCGGCGGCGGCGGCGGCGCATCGTCGTCGTAACCCGTCTATTGAATACTCAAGGTTTTAACGCTCGGGTTATGGGCTCATCGGGTCGCAAATGCTTATCATCAGCGTTGAAATTTCGACTTATGGGTTGAAAGTTTTCATCGCCCCACTGAAAAAATGAACTTTATTTCTCTTGGACGTGGCGACGGCGACCGGCGGTCGCGGCGGCGGGAGGTCCACACGTCGGTCGTTTTCCTGTGCAATCCGTTCCTCACGCGCGTCGAAGACCTGCGCGCATCGCGCACGTCGTTTCCGGCGTCACATACCGCCGTCGTCTTCCGCGCCGTTCCGTATGACTTTTTGGTCATGTACAATTTGCATTTTTTAAAACTAAAAAGACACGCCGCCCGAATACGTATTGTTTTGGTCGAAGGGGTCGGGTAGTGTCTCGTGACTTACCACGTACCGCTTGCCCGGAGGGGCCGGGTAGTACAGTACTGTAGGACTTCCGTACGATCGAAGGTAGAAGCAAGATATCTATGGCAGGGCCAGCGATGTACTTCCCGAATGGTGGTCTCTGTATGAGATCTTTGAATGTGTTAAATAGTACACGTCTACACGATGTACTTCTGTAGTCACGATGTACCAGTCAAGCTACGGAGAGTTTCTAAAGTACGCCGTTTAGCGTGCTTAGGCTGAAGAAGAGGTCATTTTCTGCAGCAGCAGGAATTTTCGTCAGACCCTGGTTTCTCAAATTAATCTTCCCGATGAAATTAAACCTTCCATAAATTAATTGTGCAGAAAATGGAAGAAGAGGTCCCCACCACAATTAACTGACACACCACAATTAACTGACACACAGGCAGTTAATTGTGGTGGGGACCTCTTCTTTCATTATCTGCACCTAATTATTTGTATGAGCGATTTTGACGAATTATAACTCAATGCACGTAATTCATGCACTTAATTCGAGCTCGAGGAGCGTAAATTACGTGCATTTCCGTCGAAATGTATGGGCGATTTTGACGAATTATAACTCAATGCGCTTAATTAGCTGCTGCAGAAAATGACCTCTTCTTCAGCCTTAGCGTGTTTTGATGAGTGACGTGAGCTACCTAGACCCCAGAGTTTATCATATCTCGGAGTTACTACTATTCACTACATTTTTGTACATATATCGACAGCATCTCTTGAATCGTTGTCACTTGCGAGAAAAAGCGCCTAGGGCTGCTGAAAAAACTCACAGTGAGCTGCTACCTTTTGGCTGTGTATCTGCTACTTTTTGGCTTTCCCACTTCATAGCAAAATCGCGATGTTTATGGTGCACTGGTGCATCTAAAGGCTTGGTGAACAAGTCGCTCACGTTCTCTCCTGTTGGGACATAATTAAGGTCAAAGTTTTTAAACTCTTGAACCTGTTCCCTGCAATAATGGTATTTGATATCGATGTGCTTTGATCGCTTGTTGCAGATTTTCTGCTCAGCCATAAACCCACCCCCTATGTTGTCAATATGAGCTGCAGCTGGTGTGATATTTATATCCATTTCCTGTTGCATGAGATTAATGAAGTACGAAAGTAGTTTGCTTCCTTCAACGTTGAATTTAATGCGACGTATTCTGCTTCACTGCTTGATCCAGTTACGCAACCTTGCTTTTCTGAATACTGGGTTGCCATAGGCAAAGATTATTCCTCCCGATGTCGATCTTCTTGATTCTTGACATCCTGCCCAATCTGAATCTGTATACACCTCCAAAGGTTTTGCTTTTGGAATTCTTGTGTATCTCAGTTTGATATCTGTGGTATTCTTGAGGTATATTAGTATTCTTTTTGCTGCTTTCCAATGTGCATCAGTGTAGTTGCTCAAATATCTGCATAAGAAGAAACAAACTGCGAACATGATGTCTGGTCTTGTGTATCTTGCAATAAATAATAATGCGCATACAAGTCCACGGTAAGGTACGTCTGGAAGATTCTTTGGGTCACCAGCCCTTAGGGTTGGGTCTGACAAAGCTTTTCCATCTATCGGTGTTTTGAACGTTCTACCTGCCCCGTTGACACCAAACTTGTTGACAAGAGCTTCAATCTGTCTGTTCTGTGACAAAGTCACTGTGTTAGCAGACCATTCAAGTTTCATTTGCAAAATAAAGTTGGTGCTTGGTTGCACTGTCATCTTTATGGTTTTGTTAAAGTGTGCCACAAAGCCCTGCATGTATTCTTTGTTGTTGTACCCAAACAGGTAATCATCTACATGCACTGACAGCGCAAATGTGCAGTCTTTGGTGATCTTATAATAGATACACGGTTCTGCTTTGCTTTGTTTGAGTTCTGGATCAAATTCTCTGATAATTTTATCAGAGAGAGCATGCCATTCATTGGCTGCTTGCTTTAAACCATACAGAGCTTTTAATAGCAGAACTATGGTTGATCCATGGAGTTTAAGTCCTTCAGGTAATCTTAAATAGATTTCCTCTGTCAGGGTGCTGTTCAGAAATGCTCCACTGACGTCTCCTGAAGCATATGCATTAGTCCAAAATGCAATATGAACACGATCAAGAGTCTTATTCCAGCTGTTTGTGGCGTTGGTGCAAAATTCTCATTCCAGTCTACTCCGTATTGTTGGGAGAATCCTTTGGCTACTAATCTTGCTTTCCATTTCTCCACATCGCCCAGAGAGGTGAGTTTCCTCTTATAAACCATTCTAGACTCGGTAATATTCTTACCTTCTGGAACTTTATCGACTGCTGAAATGACTTATAAGTCCTCCATTTGTTTGAGTTCAGCTTCAGTCGCGGCCTTCCATTGTTCGGCCTCATCAGTTTTCTGCGATTCCTTGTATGTTGTGGGCTCAGGCTTATTGAGGTAGGTTTTGTTTAGTTTCTCATATGCGCTTGATATTGCATAAGCTTGTGCACCTGAATGCTCAATGCCTCTCTCGCCGAAAAGGTCATGGTTAAGTACTGCATTCACTTCTATGTCTTGTTTCCATGCTTGTGATGCAATTTTACAGTTATTGGGCAAGTCTTCCTTGTGGAACTTCAACTCACTGTCATCTGTTTCGTACAAGCTTCCATCAGCAAATCGCAATATTGTCCATGGAGTTTTTGAGTTTGGATTATGGGACAATATGAATGCCTTATGCGCAGTCTTTGCTGTGTCTCTGCCTGGCAAGGGTTTACCCGGCAAAATTCGCATCCAATAAACTTCTGAAAGAAACGGTTGCACAGCAATCCTCGTGTCTTTAATCCTATGGATTCTGACTATCCTTCTTATTCAGGAAATTCTGAAGCTTGCTGAATATTACCTTTAAATTCTTTTCAGATGTCGTTCTTTTGAACATTGATGTTGCGAACATCCATCGTGTTCGTCCGGTGGATGGTTTTACCTTTATCAGCAAATGCGTGGTTGCATTTTTGCTGTCGTGATACAAATCAAAATCCTGTATCACCTTAACCAGGAATTTTTCAGCTTCCTTTCCTTCGCAGAAATCTTCTGGCAGAGTTTCTCTGACCGAGAAGTCATGTGCATATGAGTGGTTATGTTTGCTTGGCACTTTCCCGTACTCATCCACGTTCTCAATGCACTTACTGATGCTTCCTGTCTTGACAGTTTTGCTTACTCTGTCATACAGTTTATAGGAATCAGCAATTGTGGTCTCCGAATGTCCAACATACATAAAAGCTTTTGCTCTTGGATTGAGCTTTTGACCCAAACCTGTGTTTCTTTGCTTAGATATGAGTTCATATACTTCACAGCCAAATACTTTTACTTTGGTCATGTCAGGCTTGATACCATACATTATTTCGTATGGACTTTTCTTCAAGTCATGCTTCTGATGTGGAATCCGATTGTAGAATTTCACGATAAGTCACCTATTCGTGCCATGATGTTTACCTTGTGCACCGAAAGGACGTACACCCCGAGGATGTTCGGGATTGTTATCCACAGTTACCTTCGAAGAACCAGTAAGACAATATGTTTATCAGACACATCCAAGAAATTCTCGAGAGAACAGGATATACTACATCAAAATATTCCGTCGGCTTGCAATAGTTTGTTGCGGGCATGCACGCCGTGGTTCGGCACTTTCGGTCATTCTGTCCAGTTGGAGTTCTCGACTACAACCTTGCTTGTGAATACGCAATGCGCGGCCGTGGTGCTGCGCGGAAAATTAAATTTAGTTGCTCGTGTGTAGCGCATCATCGAGACCAAAAGCGATGATAATAGTATTAATATTGACGTGTTAATTTGTATCGCAAAGCAATTTTTCACGTCAGCATCCTAATAACTCGCTCATAGCAGATGCTTGTACTTCTGCAGCTCCTTTAGTGACTTGAGAGTGCCTTGCCCGTAATTCGTGTGTCCCGCACAGATCTCAGTCACCCAAGAAAAGTCAGAGTCACCTAGTGTCTCGAAAACTCCCTTTCAATTTACTTCACCCTCGTGAACTTGTACCCCTTCCCCGTTCACGCCTCGTGCTCGAATAAAAAAAATCTTCGATGATTTTTATTGAAAAAACACCAAGTTTATTCAAATGTTTCAAAACCCAACAAAACATTTCAACGAGTGACAACTAAACCATTCATTACCCGATATCACCGTTTGCAAGACTGAAGTGGCCAAAATTGAAAGGCAATTTCATCCCGCGGGATCGGAAAGGGACTTTCGGTCGATCGCGAAAACGATTTCCAGCTCCTTTCCGCACCCGCGCGCGCTCGAATCGCCCCGCCCTGATCGCGACACGCCCCATGCCGTCTCGGAAACGATCGCTCGACTGTTACGTGCTCGCGCCGCGGTCGAAAAGTCGCCCTCTGCCCGCGCGCACGATATCGTCTGCAGATCTGGAAGGGACAGCGAATGGGATTTGGGCTTTTTTCGCGAAACCGATTTCGATTTTGGCCACTTCAGTTTTGCAAACAGTGATATCCATAGAAATGTTGTGGGTAAAAAGAATGCATTATGGTCAATGATGAATACAAAAACATGATTGTTTTAGATATTTGTTTTAGATATCTATGATAGCCTCTGCTGGTGCATCATAGCGGTTGCCGTCCCACACAGTTGTCGAATAACCATATGGAAAAGAGTAACCCCCGGCCATATAATGAAAGGGGGGAATGACACGTTCCTTCTGGATAAATATGATTTGACTATAAAAGTGCAGACTATATCCAAACTGCTTGAATTCAGAAACAGCCGGCAGACCATCAAATATGGGAGGGCAAGACGCACTTGCAGCCATTACATCCCCAGACACAAAATAGCAATTCAACCAGTCGATCATTTTTTTGCTCAATTCAACGAAAGTTTTACCACCGGTCCTTCCATATTCTTGAACCGTGCCATTTGATAAGGGCTGGCCAAGGAAATTGGCAGAATAACTGGTGCTCAAATCTTCACATACATAGACACCACCGCGACTTTTAACATGTGGAAACATGGCTTCGAATGTGGTGAATTGCTGAGACATATTATGCCCACCATCGTCAAGAAAGATGTCGATAACTGGCACCTTCTTTTTAATGTCCTTCCAGAATTCGGGATTTCCCTGGTCACCGATAAAGATTGTTGCCCATTCACTCGCAAACTGTTGAGCCTGTGGGTTGATGTCTATACCATAGTATTCAAATCTGCAACCAAAAAAGGACCGCCACATCATCATACTGCCGCCAGACTGAACACCTACTTCCATCATGACAACCTTACGGCCCCGGAAGCGTGATAATTGTTCCGTATAGGCTGCAAAATAAGGCTCCCACTTGTGAACACGGGGGCATTTTTTGCAGTGTTTGATCTTTTCCATGTATCTATGGAATGGTGTCCAGTAGGTGGGCGTATGATTTATACCATTTGTATCACTTATTTGTTTGTCTCGTATATTTAGATGCAGCACATGTGTAAAACTATCATTATGTATGATTCTGAGGCCTTGATTCAAATAGAGGAGGGTGAGGTAATGGAGTCCCATTAACATCAAACAAAACATCCCCAAAAACTTCAAACGTGTCATCATCCTTGAAAAACTTAATCGTCCGCTACCTTTCCTCCACGCCCTCCAAGACCTCGCCGAAGCATTACGAGCCATCGCTAACTTAGTTGATACGGATGTGCGAGACATGAATGAGCTTCAAAAGAAGTTCAAGTTAGGTTTGAGAAAGCTTGACGAACTTAAGCAGAGAAGAAATAAATAAATAAATACTTTCGAAAGTACTTTCGAAAAACTATTCACTCATAGTTGTGTAGATAGCTACCTTCGTAGCTACGTACCTTCAAGGTAGATAATACTATGCGTAGTTGCGTACATTATGTGGTATCGACAATTCCGTACTCCCGGAAGCACGTGTAGAGCTGTAGACTGTAGAGCGTACAGTTTACACTAAAGTCATACGAAGGTACCTTCGTACAATAAGTCGATCCTTCACAACACTTGAGTACGTATTAATCTGTATCTGATTGCCCATAGCGAGCAGGCGACTGCCCATACGCGTATGACTATTTAGTCATCGATCCCGAGTTGCCCCTCGCGAAATTCGTATGGGCATTTCAGTCTGATCATCTAACGCGAGGTCCTCAAACCCAAAAGCACCGTCTACCAAAAAAAACCAAAACTAAGTCCCCCTCGCGATTTTCTCGCGATATTCGTATGGGCATTTCAGTCAGAGAGGGGCCTTCCGGAGATCTACAACACTAATATCAACATTTGAAATAAGCCAAAATCCCAACGGGTATCGGTCCTGCGCTCTCAGAGCTTCTCAGAATTGCGGTGGGCGCATTCGCGGCCTTTACGCGTGCAAAGCGCGCGCCAAGGTTGAACTTGACCGGATGCGACGTTCGGATCGCACCTCGGGACCTCCCAGGCGACCTCTCGACGACGAGTTCGAGGGAACCGCGCCGCCCGAAGGGCGCGGACGCCGCGCGCGAGATGATGACCGCGGGGGAAATGACGAAGGTCGTCGTTCCCGTCGTGTCGTAGAACGCACGCGCGTACGGTTCTCTCAGGAGGATCTCGACGCGGAGCTGCGCGAGCGGCGTGCCGCGGCGAAGAACAAGGAGGAGAAGGAGAGGGCCAAGCGTACGCGGGAACGTAGGAGGCGGGAGAAGGAAGAGGAGGCGGCACGTGTCGCGCGTGCCGCAGAGGAGGAACGGATTCTCCGAGACAACCGAGAGAACGCCGCGCGGGCTCGGCCACGGTGGAGCCGTCGAGTGGCGACGATGTCAGTCGGCAGAGGTTCGACCCGTGGGAGGTTGGAGGAGCCGACGACGATTTCGACGAGGAGCTCCGGGATTTGCTGCGGCAGGAGCCAGACTACCGCGCTGATTACGAGGAGGACCCCGACGCGGAGGAGATGATGCGGGAGGCTGAGCAACGGGAGACGATGGGGCCCCGCTACGAGGAGATGATGGCGGATGAGATGCTGAGACAGGACGAGGCGAACGCGAGGGCGGCGATGCAAGGTCGCCCGGTCACTCCGCCTCGCGGTGTCGAGCCGAGGCGGAGCCCCGGTCCACGTCGCACGAGAAACATCGTATACAAAGAAGCTCTGGCTTAGAACTCGAAATATATATAAATCAACCCTAACGGGAGCGCAGCCGTCACAACCCAACCGCGCGTTGCAGTACGTAAACAGTTATAATATCTATAAATAAAAGACCGCGTATGAGTAAACAGTCAGTAATACCAATTTCTTTACATTTGAGAAAGTGTGATTTGATTCGCCAAAAAATATTCGATTCTTATTAAATTGTGAGCGTAGCCACAGGCACTCCCTTGTGTAAAATAAAATTAAAAACTAAAAAAGAACCTCCCTCGCCTCCCGCTCAATCGCTCTCGATCTCGCACGACTCGAAGTAACGAGCCCGCGCGGCCTCCTTCTCGCGGGCCTGCCTCGCCGCGATCTTAGCGATCTTTGCGTCGAGACTCGCGTTTGCCGGGTTCTCCTTCTCGCGGACCTCCTTCTCGCCCCCCCGGCGACGGGCTCGAGCTCCACGGGCTGCAGCCTTCTCCGCCTGAATCTCCGCGGCGCGGGGCGTAAAGACCTTCTTGCGCCGCCCCTTCCCGAGCTCGGGCTCTACCTCCGGCTCCTCGGGCTCTAGCTCCGGCTCCTCGTACACCGAGTCGAGGATCTCGTCGACCTCGTCGCGGTCTGCCTCCCTCGCCGCCGCTTGTGCCGCGTGCAACGCGGGGAGGCTCTCCTGAACGCGGCCTCCTCCGCGTCTTCGCGCGCGATCCGATCGCGCCTCGCCCGCACATGCGCCGAATACACGATCTCCTCCTCGCTCTCGCTCAGCCTCGAGTCCGACGACCCGGCGCCGACGCCTTTGCGCGAAACAAACTGCTCGCTAGCACCGAGAAGCCGCAACCGCCGAACCTCGCGCCCCTCCGGGTCCAACTCGATCTCTTCTTGAATCCGAAGCTCGCGCTGCTCCGGGTCCAACTCAAGCTGTTCCTGAAGCGAGTCCACCTCCCTCGCCGCCATCTTGTCCGCGATCATCTCCTCCCTCATCACCTGCTCGACGGCCGCGTCCTCGGAGCAGCACGAGTACGAATCCTCCGATCTCACGGAGAACTGGGCACCCTGGACTTGCTCTGCTTCAACTTCGCGCAGCCTCTGCAACTTGTCCTCGAGCTCCTCGATCTGGCTCCTTCGAGCATCGACGGTCCTGTGCTTGCGCAACACCGCCTTCGTGTACGCCGGCATATGCTGGTCCTCGCCGTTGAAGAACACCGCCATCACGTCCTCCTCGGTGACGCATTCGAAATTGCCCACCATCTTCCACATTACCTCCGCGTGTCGCAACACCATCCCCCGACCCGCGCTCGGCTTGCACCACTCCGTGCTCGGGTAGAACAAGCCCGAGCGCAACATGTCCCTAACGATCAGCGAAAGCCGGTTCGGGTCGACGCATTCATCTTGTGTCGCCACCACATCTGAGGCGCAGCAGCAACACTTCAGGAAAGCTCGACGAAAAGATGAAAGGAATCCCACCTCACACTTCGCCATCAGATTCGATGGCGTGATCGAGTCGCGCTTCTTGATGTCGCCGGCCCCGAACATCTGATACTGCTTTTGGCCTGCCTCTATCATCTCCTGCGTGATGTCGTCACTCATGATGTTCATGAAGTGCAGCTGCGCGTGGTCTAGATCGCCGTTCAGACGGCGCTCTATTTGATTGAGCGGCGTGTTATCGCTACTCGTCGCGCTCTCGTCTTCGCTTCCACCGTCCGCGGCACCGAACAAATCAGCGGGCGCGGTGACGTCTTCACGGGGAACGATGCCTTCCTTCATCGCGCGCGTCGCGCGTCGCGGCTTTCGGCGCGCCATCGCGATGTGTTTTTCTCCCCAGTGTTATTTTTCCCGCGTCGTCTTCGCATCCTAGGGTCTGTGGTACGAACCCTGAATTGACGGTTTAAATTTACGCTGGTTTTTCGCGCAGTTTTTTTTTTCGAATTAAATCTCGGTTCAAAACCCTCGATACAATACTCCTGCCAAAAAGCCAATTTTCACGAACAGTAAAGTCCCCCCCGGTGCCCACTCTCGCGCCTTTATAATCGCGCGATGCCGTCTTTCCGTCTCACGACCGCGCGCGAGCCCACCACTCCCCCCGAGAGTTATCCCCTCGTGGAGAACCTCACGCCGGAAAAGTCCGCGCTCGTCGAACGTATCCTCGCGAAGTCGCCGGACTTCGCGACGCGCAAGCGCAAGGAGCGCGACGTTCCGTTCCGCGTCACGGACGCCGCTCGAGTCACGCTCGAGAGAAACAATTGCCCGCGAGCGGCGATCGACGCGTGCGCGAGCAAAGAGGACGTCGAAAAGCTCTTCGACGACTACGTCTACGCGATCACGGGTCCGCAAGCGGCTTTCCTCAAGGACTTCGGCATCGACGTCTCCGAGGTGAAGACGCGCGACGTCGCGAGCGCGCTCATCCGGAAGATGAAGTACAAGCTTCCGGCGACAGAGAAGCAGATGAGAGAACACGCGCGAATCTACCGACGCGACAACATCACCGGCGAGACACCCGTCGGACTCACGGAAGCCGCGGCGAGCTCCCTCATCCACGACCTGAACAACATGCTTCCAATCACTGGGCTTCAGCGGGACAGCCTCATGTTCAACGGTCTCCCCGACCACGAGATCCCGGAGTCCTTCAACGCCGCGTCCGCGATGCTCGCGCGATTCGAGCGAAAGACCCCCGCGGACACGCAGCAGCGTCGCGTCGCGCAAGCGATCCGACGATCTGAGGGGGCAATTAGTCTGACTGATTGATCTGTGCACACAGTCGATCCGCCTGACTAAAATACTCATAGCATTTTTGTAATCACCAAAACAGTTCGCATTAAGATACACCTATCCCAGCGTCGCGTCGCGCAAGCGATCCGACGATCTGAGGGGGCAATTAGTCTGACTGATTGATCTGTGCACACAGTCGATCCGCCTGACTAAAATACTCATAGCATTTTTGTAATCACCAAAACAGTTCGCATTAAGATACACCTATCCCAGATTTATTAATAAGTCGATCCTTCACAACACTTGAGTACTATTTAGTCATCGATCCAGAGTTGCCCCTCGCGAAATTCGTATGGGCATTTCAGTCTGATCATCTAACGCGAGGTCCTCAAACCCAAAAGCACCGTCTACCAAAAAAAACCAAAACTAAGTCCCCCTCGCGATGTTCTCGCGATATTCGTATGGGCATTTCAGTCAGAGAGGGGCCTTCCGGAGATCAAAAAGAACCTCCCTCGCCTCGCGCTCCATCGCTGCACTCTTCGATCTCGCACGACTCGAAGTAACGAGGTTTTGCATTTGGAATTTTAGTGTATTTCAGTTTGATATCGGTGGTATTTTTGAGGTAAATCAGTATTCTTTTTGCTGCTTTCCAATGTGCATCAGTGTAGTTGCTCAAATATCTGCATAAGAAACAAACTGCAAACATTATGTCTGGTCTTGTGTATCTTGCAATAAATAATAATGCGCATACAAGTCCACGGTAAGGTACGTCTGGAAGATTCTTTGGATCACCAGCCCTTAAGGTTGGATCAGACAAAGCTTTTCCATCCATTGGTGTTTTGAACGTTCTACCTGCTCCGTTGACACCAAACTTGTTGACAAGAGCTTCTATTTGTCTGTTCTGTGATAAAGTCACTGAATTATCAGACCATTCAAGTTTCATTTGCAAAATAAAGTTGATGCTTGGTTGCACTGTCATCTTTATGGTTTTGTTAAAGTGTGCCACAAAGCCCTGCATGTATTCTTTGCTGTTGTATCCAAACAGATAATCATCTACATGCACTGACAGCACAAATATGCAGTCTTTGGTGATTT